GTCTTACTGGCCTACAGGTCGGCTGTACAGTACTCCACCTTGTGTACACCCGCCCTACTCATGTTGGGACGGGAGCTGCGGTCACCAGCTGAGATGGCTTTCGGTAAACCACCAGATGCACTGGGGGCCCCACCCGGTCCGGAATATGCCAGGAGGCTTCAGGACCGGATGGAGTCAGCTCATGCTTTTGCCCGTGACCAGCTGCAGAAAGCAGGTATAAGACAAAAAAGGAACTATGACATGAGAGCCAGAGGGAAGGACTTTACGGTTGGGGACTTGGTGTGGGTGTATAACCCGGAGAGGAAGATGGGGCGGTGCCCTAAGTTGGACTGTCACTGGGTGGGACCTTGTGAAGTATTGGAGAAACTGGGGGAGGTGGTGTACAGGGTCCAGCTGCCGCCTAGGGGGCGGCGCGGGGCTCTAGCAGGTTGTTTCTTTTTTTATTGTTGTTGGGCTGTTGTTTTGGCATGGTTACGGCCAACAGTAACCGGTTGTGTGGAGTTAATAAAAAAGCGACTATTTGTCGGTACTCAAGGTTGTCTTCCTTGTGTCCTGCGGGACGCTACAGTATTTAGTAAGATCATTATATTTAAAATCTGGAAAGTATCATTATATTTAAAATCTGGAAAGTAGCCTAACTAGTAACTACTGTATGGGTGTCAGATAAACACAGTGCAGTAAAAAAGAGGATTTTCTTAGAAATGTATGTGGATTAGAAGTATAATGTAGTATCTGAAAATAGCCAACAGCAGTCCGTGCATGAAGTGCAATTCTTTAGTAAAGTAAAAGTACCTTAAAATTGCACTCAACATGGACGGTGGACTGCATTACACTGCTTTCACTGCTAACTTACAATATGTCTTTCACCTCTACCTGCGGAAAACATTTGGCTGAAAAAACTTCACCTCCCAGAATTAATTGCGGCTGGGGCGGGACTCAAACCGGAACAACGTCTTTAAAATGAAATGTAGTTGGAACTAAATGACTGTTGAGCCTATTTGAAACCTGCTTTTGCAATAAAGTAGGCTATTCACAGTTACTATCATCTCATTGAGGCGTATTCTACCGTAATATATGTACTCGAGATTTCTTATCACAGATTATCGGACGCAAACAGAAAATCGCTTAGCACAGGAAGTCGTTGAATATCGCTCGGTAAATGTGTGTTATCTGAGACTGTGGCGAAGATATATTCTTGTAAATACGATTACAGTAATGTTTAGTTAGCACGCTAATAGGAAACGTTTTGTGTTCAAAGCCAAAACAGACATTACAGAAACTGTTCATCAACGGTTCAGTTAACTTCAGTCGCCGTCAGCAGGTTCATGAGGTGAGTTTAATGAAGTAGTTAATAAATAAACCATTTGTGGAAGAAGTCAGCCGACACTTGAGCCACTTTTGTCGTTACTGAGACTAGCCAAATGGCTATTTGGAGTTATTTAGCAGCTGTGAAAATGTCCAGCTACCAGCTACATTCAGATAACAGATTGGTGTTGCAGTGGCTTTATCGAAACCCCCACTAAGTTTAACAACTATCCAGAAAGCCAAAACGTGTTAAAGTATTTTCTTCAGCCAAAACGTTCTGCATTTTGAAACGAGCTAAACTTACTCTACGTCTGCATTTATTACCCAAAACCTATAAAATAACTGATAGTTTGGGCCACTTGTTTATATTGCTGCAGCTGTGTTCGTTTATTTATGTAATTCTTTATGATTCCAGCGAGTTAAGATACAGATATGTTTAATCTCTGTCAAACTTTAGTGAAGGTTGAGATCCATCAGTAAGGAAGATTCAAGGGCGTGTGTGACGTGAGCTATTGTCTTTGTCTCATCCTGCCTTTGTATGGGGAAGCTTGCTTTAACTGGTTGAGTGTGGAGTCTCCCTACAGGGCCCCTGTTCTGATATCATGTGGGTTTAAAGTCTATCAGTGGGGAGCTGTTTCTTTGGTATGATTTTGACTTGCACACCTTGCTCTCTGGCCAGAATAAACAATACAGTTGAGAAGATAACTGTGACTTTTGGAGCTTCTCTTCTTTTCTGAACCCCAGATATTCTTTATTAATTTCTATAAGGTATCACTGGATATGTAGTTATAAAGCTATCAAGTATAATCTGGAGTAATGTGACTATGAAAGATCCAGACATATGTGATCTGTTGATGTGACAAAATTGCCATACTTTTTACAGGTTAGTCAGACAGTTGATGTGATTTCGTCCACTGTCTGGGCTGCTAGCTCTTACCTGGTTGCAGAGTGGCTGTACACTACTTTGTGACTGATACAGCATCTCAATATTTGGATGCACACACTAGTGCATTGTAGGCTCTAATTTTAGCTTGATGTTAGTCTTAGATTTCTAAAGAAATTGTTTATTTTGCTGCCTCTGTACTGGCACATAATGTATAGCCCAGTGTTGCCTGTTCAAAAGAACTATTACCTCTGACATTAAAACTCCTTGGTCCTTGTCACCACATTGCTTATTCCCCTTTTTCTCTGCGGACAAAGCAAAGCTATGTCAGCACTCTGTCTGGTGCCAGTGTATTGTTGCACTCCCAGGAGATAGGAGGGAATGCAGCCACCTCCTATTTGGTCTTTGAAAATCAACATTTTCCCACCACAAGAAACAGTGATGCCTGCCAGGCTCGTGTTGAAAATTAGTTTGCTTTATTAGTTTGCTTTTTTTGTTATCATTTGTTCTATGTCCTCTATGTTTCGCTTTTATTTGCTTTACTTTAATGTATACAAGGCTGGCAAGGGTGATACTGGCCGAGGTGAGAAAGTTCACTCTGACAAGACCCCAGTAGTCAAGCAAGAGAGAGAGAAAAGCTTATCAGTCTATCATTTGGACGGCTGCCCAGACTGACCGGGGGTCACCAGCACAGCCCTTAGTTGTGAAGTTATATTGAGGGATTTTTTTTTTTTTGGATGTGTTATGAATGAGGGATGTCAATCTTGTAATCTGGATTTGAATCTGTACTTGAATATTGGCCCCTGATGGTTAGAGCCATCGGTGTGAGTTGGCACCGCAGATGGCTGCCTTGGTTCTGTACCGGAAACAAATTCCTTGTGTGTGGGTGTGCAACATACTTGGCCAAATAAAGGAGATTATCCTGATTAAAGGTCAGAGTGTTTATTTGTCATGCTTGAACATGGTGTTCGTTATGGACAAACTGTGGCTAGCACAGAAGTCCAATAACAAGACACCACTCGGGTTCTGATCGGGGGGGCCGTTCCTCCCAATCACGCCCCTCCAGGCGTCACTGTCGCTGCCCACGTGAGCGTTGAAGTCCCCCAGTAGAACAACGGAGTCCCCAGTCGGGGCCTTTTCCAGCACCCCTCCCAGGGACTCCAAGAAGGCCGGGTACTCCACACTGCCATTCGGCCCGTAGGCACAAATGGCAGTGAGAGACCTATCCCCAACCCGAAGGTGCAGGGAAGCGACCCTCTCGTTCACCGGGGTAAACTCCAACACATGGCGGCTAAGCTGGGGAGCTATGAGCAAGCCCACACCAGCCCGCCGCCTCTCACCGCGGGCAACTCCAGAGTAGTAGAGAGTCCAGCCTCTCTCGAGGAGTAAAGTTCCAGAGCCCAAGCTGTGCGTGGAGGTGAGCCCGACTATATCTAGCCAGTACCTCTCAACCTCCTGCACAAGCTCGGGCTCCTTCCCCACCAGCGAGGGGACATTCCATGTCCCCAGGGCTAGTCTCCGTGTCCAGAGATTGGGTCGTCGGGGCCCCTTCCTTTGACTGCTGCCCAATCCACTGTGCACCAGCCCCTTACGGATCCTCCTGCAGGTGGTGGGCCCACGGGAGGACGTCCCCACAATTTCTTATTGTTATACTTTTATTTAGCTTGATAGATTCCAGTTCTTTAATTATCAATACAGAACACATGGCTAACTTATAAATAATACAGATAAGCATAACTTTGTGTAAATTTGCAAGCCTGATAATATCTACTTGTTCACAGTTTATCTGTTAAAACAACAAAATTTGCTGAATCCTCAATATAAGTGTAAGAAGTGAACTATAGTCAGGCTGCTGTCTGCTGGGTCTGCACTTTCTGTGCTTACTGTGCAGTTTTCAGTGAGTATGTTTGTGTCTGTTCCCCTTATTCTTATTTCTCAGAGTTGTGGTTGTATGCTTTTTTCAGATTATAAAGTTTTAATTTTATTAATTCATAATGTATGTGTGCATTTACCCTTTGTTCCATGTGACCAACTCTCCCATTGCTTTTCCTTGCTGAATTGCTCCCATTTTATTACAGTGCATATGTGTTTATATTGGATGTATTTGTGCACCTAGACATGCCACCCAGTGTGTCCAGTTGCGGTCAGATAATAAAATCAACTTCTGACAGACACCTTTGTGTCACATTAGGTGCTGTCCCAGACATCTACCCTGATCTGACTCTCCATCGTCACATCTACTGACCTACTGATCTGACAGCATGGTTAACACAGACTCTGTCAGTGTCCGGGTCTTCTCTCTGAACTGCTGGTCAGTGGCTCTGGTTTTGTCGTGACTTATTTTTTCTCTTGATCCATGTATGCAAAAACACATTGTCCATACTCTTTCTGTTTTTAGGGGCATACACTACCTCAGCAAACACTGTTCTGAGCGCTATGCCATGATTGGAGATGCATTGTCCAAGGAAGAGCATGATATTGTCTTACTGCAAGAGGTCAGTGGAAACATTTGCAGAACCTGTAATGAGACCGATTTAGTTAAACTTGGTGTAATGGAGACAAACCTTAAACCATAAATAAACTTTAGACTGATATGAACAATATGAATTCTGCCTTGTATTCTTATTTTCAAGTGACTTTTCTTTCAGGTGTGGAGTGAGAAAGACTACCATTCCTTAAAAAAGAAACTTGCCTGCACTCATCCTCACTCTCATTACTTTAAAAGGTACAGTAATGTTTTATTATTACGCCAAGGGTTGCTGTGCACTCGTTAAATTGTTACCTTTGAACATCTGTCAGTTGGTGATAAAAATTTATGAGTAAGTTGTAATAGTTTCAAAAGAGCCCTGAAGGGGCCCACTGTCAGAAAACGGTACTTGCATGGCATTGATCCATCAGAAAAATGTAACTAACACATATCTGCTACCAAAGGATTAACTTTTGCAGTCTAATTCTTTCTTGACCTCCAAACTGAGGCACAAGACTGTGGTTAATCAACACGCCACCTTTCTAAGCTCCTGTGCAGCTCATGAAAATGTCAACTCTACTAGAGGAGTTCTCAGAGCTCCTGGAGATAACATTTGTTTACAGTAGTATGATTTAGATCTACATGAAAACCAGGAACTTGTTTGTTTAAACAAGTGTGAAGCATAGAACTTGCAGTAATCTGTTTTTCTCTGTTATTCTGCAGTGGAGTCATAGGGAGTGGAATGGCCATTTTCTCCAAGCACAGAATCCATGACACGTTTCTTTATCGCTACTCACTGAATGGTTATCCTTACATGGTAAGTCTAGAGAGCCTCAGGGCAGAGTTTTGTATGGCACATTTTAAACACAACATGTGCTGAAAGTTACCAAAGTAAAAGTATTTCTCACGGCCCCTTTCATAGTTTTATATACACTGTGGGATTACTATCACTGTTGCATGTGTGAGCAAAATGTTTGTTTGTAGTTTCTAAAGTTTTGGTCAGTTTAATGTGCACAGTCTCAATCAAGGCATTTCTGTTACTGTATCAGCCCCAAAAAGTTTATTTTATGATGGATCCTGACTGCAGTATGTGTCCTAAACCAAGACAGAATATGGCACCAGTGCTACACTGTAATTTAAAAACTTAAGCTTTTTAACAAGTTGAATATAGGTTATAATATTCTTGCTTGCATCAGAGATTTATTACAATTTTATGAGAGAAGAAAACTTTTTAAGGACTCAATTCTAGTCTGAAATGTCTTGATGAGAGGATTTTCTTTTCACTGAACAGTTCATTGTGTTTTAGAAGCAAAACAATCAGTAAAATATGCAAAAAACTAGTAAATATAGATGTCAAATACATTTAATGGAGTAACAAGTGTAATATTTCCCTCTGAAATGTAGTGGTGGAGAAATGAAATAGTAACAAATAATAAAAAAATGAATGAAATAGTAAAAAAAAATACTTCTACTGAAGTGCAGTATTTAAGTAAATGTACTTAATGACATTTCTCTACTGGTTTTTAAAATTCAAAATATGGCATGATGAAGTAAATATTCATTCATTCATTTTCTACCGTTTGGTCCCTGAGCGGGGTCACGGGGGGGGCCGGAGCCAATCCCGGCCGGCAATCGGGCGAAGGCGGGGTACACCCTGGACAGGTCGCCAATCCATCGCAGGGCTAACACATAGGCAAACAACCACACACACGCGCACTCCTATGGGCAATTTAGAGACACCAATCAACCTAAGCTGCATGTCTTTGGACTGTGGGAGGAAGCCGGAGTACCCGGAGAGAACCCACGCAAGCACGGGGAGAACATGCAAACTCCACACAGAAAGGTCCCAGGTGGGGCCCGAACCTGGAACCTTCTAGCTGTGAGGCAACGGCGCTAACCACTGTGCCACCGTGCTAGCCGAAGTAAATATTATAACATTTATTTGTTTACTGTAAATGAAGATTATTTAAAATGCCACCACCTGTTTTCCTGACTTTCAGGCTCACCATGGAGATTGGTTCGGAGGCAAGGCTGTTGGGATGGCCGTCTTAAACATTGGCAGCCTGGTTGCAAACGTCTATGTCACTCATGTAAGGTTTTCTGACAGTTCTCAGTTCTAATTTTGTATTACAGCACGCAGTGAACTGTTATTGATCAGTGTACTGTTTGTCGTTGTGCACTGATTTTTAGCTGCATGCGGAGTACTGCAGAGAGAAGGACTCTTATCTACCTCACCGAGTGGTTCAGGCCTGGGAGCTGCAGCAGTTCGTTCGGTAGGATGTCTGATTTCTGCACACAAAGTATGAGCCACTGTTTGTTTACTCAAGTGTATATTTGGATATTTTTCTCCACTGGACTCCACCTGTTGCTATTTTGAGTTAGTGAAGGGTTTAAACCAATGACTGTATAAATATGTGTGATGCATTACCACATCCTCCACTGTGCAGAAGTGAAGCTAAAATACTGCGAACATGGTGGCTGCCATCTTGGCATATTGCATCCAGATTGTGAGTGATGTATCAGACTGCCAATCAAAGCTGCCAGATCTTCTGAAATGCACCCCTTTTATATCAACAAATAACATTGCGATGGCTTGACTTCGGGGAGCTGTCATGGCGTCCATATTCTAGACAGTTGATGGTTTACACCAACGTGACATTGTCTGACAGTATTTTAAATAAGCAAACGCATCATAATTGCACTTAAGTTTCACCTTGATATGAAATTATGTTGTTGGTAAACAATCTGTTTTTCTGTACCTATTAGCCACACCTCTGCTGGAGCAGATGTGGTGATTTTAGGTGGTGACCTCAACATGCACCCTCAGGATCTTGGTAACAGGCTACTAAGGTCTTACACTGGACTCCGAGATGCCTATTTAGAGACTGATGTGTTTGATGTAGGTAGTGAAAAGAATCTGGCACAATATTAAGATTCACTGGTCTGCCAAAATACAGTATTTAAAGTATTTAAATCTTCCTGTTGTAGTCAATAATGTCAATAATTTATCAGTTATGATCACTTTTTACTTGTATTTCTATGTTTTACCAGCTTAATGATGTATTATGGGGCACAGTGGTAGTACACAGTTCTAAAACAGCACAGTCCGGGCAACCATGCAAGCAATCAAACGGGCTTTAATCACGCCTCCATTTTAGACACATTCTCTAAACCATTTATGTAGATGTTTAGGGTATGGTCAACCTTTCTTAAAGTCTGGTATTATTATCCATGGCAGTTTAAAACTGCTTGCAAACACACCTTCAATAAAACCCTTTTCAGGAAATGACACTGCATAATTGTAAAGCTGTTTCATTTTGAGCCTGTAGTGCAATAAGTGAGCTAGTAAGTAAAATATCATAACTTGGTCAAGGCTCTAGGAACAAGAGTCAGGCTGTGAAAATAAAGCTGTTGATTTTATGTGAATTAAAAAAAACTGTTTTATGTTGCAGGGCTGTGAGAATGGTATTACTTTAATTGCTGAAAACCCTTTTATTAATAAAAGGGAACTTGTCCCCTTTGAGCAGGGAATCCGAATTGACTACATCTTGTTCAAGGTGGGTGAAGCCTTTGTGTCGTCACACCTGCTGTAGTTTTAACCTTTTATGTTCACAGCAAGATGTTTCAACTCCTAAAGCATGTTTCCCTTCTGTTATTTGCAGGGTTCTTCCAAAACTAAGATTTACTGTGATTCCATGTCCACCACCAAAGGGTCTGTCCCTGACCATCCTTTCCCATACTCCGACCATGAGGCTCTGACTGCTGTACTTAGGCTGGAGCCACACACTCCAAACGAGACTGGAAGGGGTATGCAGTCAAAAGATCAGGACTCTGCTGCAGGTATTTTCACTAGCCAGGGTGACTTGAGGGATGGGAGTGTTGGCGGTGTTGATTGGTTGGTCCATCGCTTTGGTCCAGACTGAACTATATCATGATTTCCAGAGAATGAATCCTCCTGTCTTTGGTGGTCCCGACTCCAGTGATACAAGGAGGTTGACATTTGTGGTTTTCAGTCAAATATCTCACCAACTGTTGGATGGATGGCCTTTAAATTTCAGCCACCATGCTGAACTAAGTCAGTGAACATTTGGAGTGATGTCGTTTTTTTCTTTCTTTATCAACTTGGTGTAAAGGTGGACTTTTCAAAATGGGGGAAGTCAAAATATTTTTGCGACCCTCCTGGTTAGAAAGGCACCAATTGCAATTTGCTTGTCTGATTTCAGTTGCAGATTTAGTTTGACTGCATTGCCAGTTTTTTTTTTTTTTTTTTAAACAAACCTTAAATGGTTTGCAGTAATAGAGACAGGAAATTGTTGCATCAGTCGTACTGAGCACACGGCTCTTTTCAAAGTGTGTGTAGTTTGTATTTGCTGTGTTTTTACCAGGGGTTGAATACACTGTGTATATACATGTATTTCATGTGTAGCCAGTAATTCCCTCATTGTGGCTCCTCTGTGCGCTGTTTGTACACCAAGCGCTTCTAATGCAGGAGTGACCACGTGTTCAGCACAGACACAAGCGTGAGCTTTGCTTGAGGTCCACGTGAGGTGCTACGCTTTTTGTCTGTACCATCACATACAGTCAATGGCCATTATGTGCGTGACATGGACTGTGGTGCCGCTAAAGCCGACTGGTACAGAATCAGAAATCTCTGAGTAATTGACTGGTCACGCTGGAAACTGGCCATTTCCGATCGGTGCACTTCGAATCATGGTAGGAAATGTTGCGACAGGAAAACATGTTAAGTCATTAGGAAAGAAAGACCCTGTTAAAGCTCATCAAACGGGCTGTTATAACACCAGCTTCAGGTTGCTACTGGTATTTCTTCTGGCTAGTCCTATGAAATGCCTGTTACAGATCACGTTCCGTAGTATCATGGTTAAAATCCCGTCTGGAACAATGGGATAAATTAGCAGGGAGAACAGTGAATACTTAATGCTATACTGCGATGGTAATCCCGTGGAGCAGACGTACAGCCTCACAGAGCCACTAGTATGACTGTAGACCTGTGCCGTTTTTCTTTGGCACTTCACTGTTCAATGCTCATGCTGCTTGTGTTGAGGTCAGCCATCAACTCTTGCAAAAGTTTTGACTTTCTCTCTTGTCTCTGTCGTGTCTTCAGAGAAGAAGTTGGCCGAGCTGGTCGACATTGTGACAGAGGCCCGCACTGAAGTCAAAGTGGGCCTGCACTGCGCTGAGAGGATGCGCTACACAGTAGCACGCAGTGGACTGATGGGGTTGGCTTTGCTGGTCCTGGAGCTGGCCATTGCGGCTGTGCCGTGGTTGGCGCTGGGCGAAGAGCAACCTTTCCCCCGTGTGTCCTTCTACCTGCTGGCTGCACTATGCTTCGCCATCCTGCTGACCGCTATTCTGCTGTACATCTTCTACACCATGGAGCTGAAATCTCTTCAGGGGGCTGAAGACCAGATGAGGCTAGCTGTAGGAGGTCTGCAAGAGAAGCTTAGGGGCTTTCCTGTAGCTCAGCCTCACAACACCCAGTGCAGGCCACCTGAGGGTCAGGATCCCAGTGCTGTTGACCCAGTGGAATAATGAGGGAGGCAACTGGGTCAGAGTGGGTTCAGTGAAAAGCTCTAGAAATGAGCTCTAAGGTGGATTTTTAATGGAGTTGCCACTCCTCTGAATGTGTTTTCTGTTCTAGAGATTTGTACTGATTAAGGATCTAAACTGTAATTGAAGAAGGGTCCACATAGTATCGCAGGTCACAATCATGCTTTGACATTTTTATGCTTTTTAGAGACTTGACCCCTTTTTTTTAATGCACACTCTGTACCTCCACAAATATGCTTCCTAGTACATAGTCAGTGCTACTGCTGTAAAGGTCATAAATGTGGCCATTTGTGTTTCTTAAGCCCCACGTCCAACTTGCATTCCACTCACCCATCAGGACCAGTTTGTTTTTTGATTTGATGCTTCTCCTTCGTGATTTGGAGAGTCCGCCACACAGTCGTAGTGGGCCCAGACAGATTGCTGATTTACTTGATGTGCGCAAATACTAACAGAACTTAACAAACACTGAAGGTTATAGGTTTACATTTAAATGAAAAGTGTTGTTTTTCAGATCACTGAGAGTTTCCAACTGCACATAAAGACGAGGATCCTCATGCACCAGCTTAATATGCTGTAGTAAAAGGGACAAAGTACAGTTCCTGCATTTGTCAAGTTCACTCTCATGTGCTGTAAACTGTCTTTATATTGGAGGTAATCTACACTCCTCTTTCCCAAAGTATAGGAGTGGGAATGTGCTAGAGATATATTTTGTCATATTTACTCTTGACTGACTTCATTTGATCACAAGAGTTATTTTCACAAAGCATCATGCAGCCTTATG